CGAAGCTTGTTTCTGCACATTAAAGGGCACCTATGGTGAAAAATCTACTTTTCAAGCTGTTTTGACAGACATATGTGTTGGTATAGTGTATAGGCCGTCATATTGGGGTGAAATAAACACACCCAGTCCTTTTTTTTTCAATTTAACAACATAAAATGGTAGACCAATTGGAGCGGTTTTCAGACAGACCACAACTTGACGTAGGAGTGCGGTCCCCCCTCCCACCGATTTGATTAACAGCTTTGCGTCGCGTGGTCACGTGTATATTAATGTCAACAAAGCCAGACATGCGCAAAGCAACCAGGAATAAAATGTCTGTTCAGTTCGCCAGGATCATCAAATACTAGGGATGTAACGGTATTGTAAATACCGTCATACCGCAATATTAAATTTTTTCGATATTACCGAAGTCGCATGACTCGGTAAAACTATAGGTCTTCTGAGAAAATTTGCTCAGGCGAATGAAGCGAACGGGAGGTAGCTGGAACTTCATTTCCCATCAGCCCCGGCGTGGCCATAATCCTTTGCGGTCTGTTGTCGCTACAGATCCAGTAATGCGGAAATGGAGTGTGCTGCTAGTAGCGGAGATGAAAAAAAGATGGAAATGATCGAACCTAAAGCGGGTGTTGTCGCCGCGCGCGTGCTGAATAGCGGTGCTGTCGCGCGCGTTCTGATCAGCTGTGTTGTGGCGCGCGTATTGTAAAGCGCCGAGGGGGGGTTGAGCGCGCATACTTAAGAGAGGTGTTATCGCGCGCCTACTGAAGGGCTGGACTGGACGGAGGTTGTGTCGCGTCGCGGGGGCACTTTTGATCGTTTTGGAAGGGCATTTTCTATCCAAGACTAAAAAGGGCATGTGCACTGCACAGGTTGAGCCCTATGTGTGCACGTGCCTGCAAGTTGGGGAATACGACTAATAACAGTCATGGGGACTGCAGAAACACAGCACACTGTTCAGATTGATGCAGACATTGACTTGTACCGCAAAGAGATCTCTATCTCACTCATGGTTTGTCCTCTCAAGTGGGGGAAAGACAATGCACAACGTTACCCCACTGCTGTCAACATGGGCCAAGTCATATCTCTCTTGTCCCAGAATCCTCAGTCCCAAATGAGAGGGGTTTTTTCTGTTGCAGGGGACATTGTAAATACCCAGAGATACCAGCTTTTACCAGATTATAGTTATATGATTATTTTCCTTTAAACCCATCTCTATCTAAGTGAGTGATTAAATGTTAAATGTGATGAGTTTTTAACAATACTAAATTGAAACTTTATTTTTTTACATGGTTTAATAATTTTTTGTTATTAAAATTGAAGTTCCTGTTTCAAAGCTTACAGATAGATGGCTAATTTGTATGTCATTGACACTTTTGGCACTTTTTTGGGAGTATTTTCAAAAGTTTTTTTTTCCTGTAAATGATTCAATAAATACCGTACCGTGACATTCATACCGAGGTATTACCGTACCGTGAAATTCTGATACCGTTACATCCCTATCAAATACATATTCTGGAGACGCAAAACACGTATATTAAATCTAAAAACCTAGGTGCCCTTTTGGTGTAATTTCACATTGTTTCAATTAAAGTTTCACATTGGTTTAATTAAAAATTCTCTCAGAACTACAACTTTGCACCTATCAATTTCAAATGGCATACTTCTTAATTAAAAAAAGAACTGCAAGTAATGAAGTCATATTTGCTATTATAAACAAACTCGCAATTCTGAAGAAGATATCTTAAATAAAATGTATACAGACTTTCTCTTGAAATTCTGCATTTATGTCTTTAGATTTTCTAGTTATACTTCCCAATTCTGAATTTAAGTCTCTTTTTCATGCATTTCCATTTTTATGTCTCACAATTCTTAGTTTATATATTACATTTGTAAAATATAAAACTCAGGGTTGTGAGACAAAACAAAGAAAAGTGAGATTATTGACTTTTTTTTCAACTGCAGTTTTGCATCTCACAATTATGTGAAAATAGTTTAATAGTAAAATATCAAAACCTTACATAAACTCAGAACTATGAAAAATATAAACAATTGTGAAAGAATGTGAACCTTAGCTCTATTACTGCAACAAATAGTCACAATTCTGAGAAAAAATGTTTGAAATATTAACTGAAACTTTGCAAGCTAGCAATTGTAACCTTTTTCTCAAAATTGTCAGCTTACATCTTTATTTTTTACATAAAAAGCTTTTAACAGTTTTTAGTTCTGAGGCAACATCATATTCGAAATGAGAGATTAACATGTATGTTTACAGAGTATTTCTAAAGTGATGCATATTTTATATTCGCTTTATTTAAATTTGTTTGACATTTGTTACGGTTCTGTAGAGTAAATACATCATCGTTTCTTATTGCTTTATACCCCTATTTTTTACATTCCCTTTCTCTCCTAAATACTGTTGAACGTAAAGGATTTGTAAGAGAGGTGAACTAAAATACATCATTTTTAAACTTGATTCTATTTAGGGCTATTTTAAAATATTACGGAATTAAATGATAAAATGTGCCTTATACCAAAGCATATCATAGCCAACCAGTTGAAAAAGAAGGATCATTTTCCTAAAAGTGGATTCCCATCATTTTTCATTTATTTATGAGGCTTAAACACTGCATTTTAGTGGCATTTTAGACACTACCCACATAGCAAAATTTCTCTGGCCCAGCTCTGGCCCACATGCCGCAGTGAATTACGGTACATGACTGGGCCAAATCTGGCTTCCAGACAAGGGCCAAACACAGACCATATCTGGGGCAAGTCTCAGCCAAGTTAATAACTCATAACTGGGCCTGAACTGGGCCAGATAGGTTGGTGTGTCACGATTGCAATAATATTGATAAACCCATGGAGTGATGCGCTTTAGGCACACTCTGGGCACGCTTTTTCTCAAAGTGACCTGATAGGTAGAATGTTTTTTCTTTATTCAAAAATGATTTTAGTGTATTTTAAATGTGGGTCAAGACTGGCCAAACTCACATGGCCCACTTGTCAAATTTTTAAATCTGGGCCAAATACTACATTTTTCATCTGGCCCAAATCTTGTGTGCCGCCTTAAAGACGGTGCCACCTCTGCCAAACCCGGGCCATGTTTGGCCCACATGCTGTATGCCAGTGCCGGATGAATGCCTGCTGTGCCAGCTTTATGCCAAATCTGGGCCAGAATTCTTTGCTACTATGGTAATTTCTGCTTGGAAGCTTGTTGGGTGATAATGTTCTTTTTATAGCAAAAAATATTTCCTACAATTTTGTCAATTTCCTTACCATTCTCCTCTTTTTTTACAAATATTTATTTAAACTCTAAGCTTGATATTACAGCTTTACAAATAATGTAATGAGATTAGTGCTTTTGAATAAAGAAATATGAAATGTCAGCATATACAGTACTATTAAACAAACGGCAATTAACAAACTAAAAAGTATATTTCTTCATAAGTCTGTACTTGGCCATAATAATTATGATAAAAACATAATATTAATAATAATGAGGTGCTTAATGATTTTTTCAGCCTCTCTTGTAGTAAGTAAATTTAAGAATTCATGGATAACAAAAATAGCCTGATTGTGTTAGTATAAACTGAACTACTTCTGGTAATTTTATATTAATTAATTCGTGCTCCAAATAATGCCCAAGATTAAGAGAGATACTTGTACATTTTTTTGATGAAAATGTGAAATTAATTCATAAAAAAAAAATTGGGGAGGCATAGCAGTCAAATCAGGACAATGGAGCTCATGTACTGGAGCAAAAAAGTGGACAAATTCTGAAAAAGCAGTTTTGTCTTTGAAGAATGAAATATGATTTAGTTAAAGGGCACCTATTTTCAAGATTTAGGAAAAGTCTCCAGAATGTGTCTGTAAAGTTTCAGCTCAAAACACCCATTACATAGTTCGCTGGTTCTCCTCCCCCACCGTTCCCATCAGAGTGTGCCTCAATCTCTGACTGGGTCTGGTACGAGTTAATCTCACGTAACATTTGTGAGAAATTAAATACTACAGTATGAACTTTCCCAATGATTATTTGATGTATTTATTGTGGGGTAAATTCAAGCCTTTCTACAACAATGAGTCATTCACAATGTCGTTATAAAGTTCACGCACAGACACATCAGATACACACATAACGTGTGTTTAAATTTGCACTGTTTGTATATTACACTGTTAGAATATCTCGTTATATATTAGGATACACGCTAATATCCGCTGCTGTATGGATATTTGTTATAATAATGTACAAACTGATTTAATAAATTCAAACCTAATTTAACGTCCACAAAAGGGGATTGAAGCGTCTGAAACTTGTAAAACTCTATCTTGATCACATTTGATAAAGATAATTGATGATCCCAGCGAGCTGAACAGATCTATTAATCCCAGATGTTTTGCACAAGTCCTGTTTTGCTAATATGATTATACGCGTTACTACTGAGACATGTTAATACGCGGCTGTCAATCAATACAGTGAGCGAGGAAACGCACTCCTACGTCATGTTGTGGTGGGCTTTAAAATGGAAGGGATTTAAATCCTATTTTTCACATCAGGAAATAAAAATAAGACTTATTGTCTGTACATCACCCAATATGACTACACACAGTTCTGTCCAAACAGCTTACAAAAGATGATTTTCATCATAGTTGCTCTTTAAGATAAAGCATTATTTAAAGGTGCATTATTTTGTTGATTGTGGTTTGGTCAGAAGTGTGTGACAGACTCACATGATGTCCCAGTCCAGCTCCACCTGCTCCACCTCCTCCATCAGCCGCATCATGCGCCGTTTAAAATTGGCTTGAAAACGTACATCGTCCTCAAAGATCAGCGCCTTGTCAAGCTGCATGTCTACCATCTGTGAGCAATAAATGGCAAATCATTAGTGACAAACTAAAAACATACGGACATGATTTTAATATACATTACCATTTACAGGTTTGGGTCAGTAAAAAATTATTTAGCTAATATGCATTAAATAAAACAACAAAAGTAAAGATTTTACTAATGATTTAATTCTGCTCTTTTAAACTTTTTATTTATCAAATACTAGGGGTGTAACGATTTATCGTTGTACGATTTATTGCGATGCAAAAATGTCAGAATATGCACCGTGGCGTTATGACGATTTCATTACGATATGACGTCCGTTTTCTCTTATTAGTTGAGCTGTTTGCACGTAAGCTACGTTCCACCTGCTGTCGCACGTGAGTTCAGATTGCAGCAGTAATGTTAGCAGACCAAGATGAATGGAGGTGAAATAGAGGATGGCCCATCCTCTCAAAATCAGACGTCTGGCAACATTTCGGTTGTACAGTCATTGTTTTAGACTCGTCCGCTTTTTGACACGCATACTGGGTCAAACATCCTAAATTATAAAGTCTTCAAAATGATTTACATACTTTGCACAGTGACATGGATACCTTCTAATGCTGTTAAAAGTGTCACAGATTGTATTTAGAAGGTACAATTCACCCTAAAATATAATTCTGTCTTCATATAATGATGTATTGGCGGCCGCAAAATCACACATGACGTGAGCTGACCGTGAGCTGTTACTACAGAGAGCGGACTGATAGGCGCGCGCGTATGGCAAGCCGTTTTAGCATTTAAACCTTTGTTCTTACTATCCATAAATATATTTAGAGATATCTCTAATTATATTTTGACTAGTCATAATTATAATTCGACTAGTCAGAATGACAATTAGAGATATCTGCAATTACAATTGTACTAGTACGAAATCAGATTGGAGATATCTGCAAATATATTATGACTAGTGAAATTCCTCCATTGACATTAATTGAAAAATATTTGCAGATATCTTTTAATGAGTTTTGACTAGTCACAATTGTAATTAGAGATATCTCTAAATGAATTTAATTATATATGAATTAAATATATTTATGGATAGTCAGAACAAAGGTTTAAATGCTAAAACGGCTTGCCATACGAGCGCGTCTGCTTCAGTGAACAGAACCTGCAGGTTGTGACTAATAAAGTAGTAAAAAACATTCAGTTTGTGGAACAGAGTGATCGTTCAGGAGCCGCGTGGGAAGTATGAACAGGACTTAGCAGTGGAAATGAAACCGAAAACCTACACATTATTTAAACAATAATATCGCATTTAAGAGTTATGATTACGACGAGCATTAACCCTTTTGAGTACAGAGGTACACAAAAATGCACGTCAACATGATACAGCTTAATTTTTTTGCACCTTTACTTAAATCGTTCCTTAATTTTTTCTCTGTCATTTCAATAATATTTTTTAAGAAGTTTTTAAATTGTTTTATTTTCCAGAGACAGGCCTGTTTAATTTATTTTCTTAAAGAAGGTTCAGTTTAACAAGTTGAAACAAATGAAATACATAAAAAATTGTTTACTTGGTAAAATTTGCATTTCAGTTTAATTTTCCATTTTTATTCCAAACATCGTGATACATATCGAATCGTGAACATTATATCATGATACACATCGTACCGTGAGCTGAGTGTATCGTTACACCCCTATCAAATACATTACTTTTTTTTTTACTTTAATAATTCATTAATTTCTTTTCGGCTTAGTCTCTTTATTAATCTGGGGTCGCCACGGCGGAATGAACCGCCAACTTATCCAGCATATGTTTTACGCATCAGATGTCCTTACAGCTGCAACCCATCTCTGGGAAACATCCATACTCATTCACACTCATATACTACGGACAATTTAGCCTACCCAATTCATCTGTATCACATGTCTTTGGACTGTAGGGGAAACCAGAGCACTTAGAGGAAACCCATGCGAACGAAGGGAGAACATGCAAACTCCACACAGAAACGCCAACTGACCCAGCTGAGGCTCAAACCAGCGACCTTCTTGCTGTGAGGCAACAGCACTACCTACTGAACCACCACATCGCCCAAGTGTTATTTAAATAAATTTTAAAAATATTTCAATATTTTGATCGCCACTGACCTCTTTCCAGATATAGTAGTGGCTCAGGAAGCAGCCCACCTCTCCTTTGGTCAGTGTGCGTCCAGAGAAAGGATCGTAGTAACCAGGTAAAAGATCCACACCTAGAATCTTAATATCGCTGCTGTTCAGAGCTCTGCGTGCACACACAAAATCAAAGCACAACATTTTCATTTTGTATTTAGCATTTGTGGATACAAAAATGTCATACTACAACAGAACATGTCTTGCGCATTCATCCACACTTACGCTCCATCTATAGCATCCACAACTTTAGCATCAATCTCTAGCTCATACAGAGACCATAACATCCTGTCCCGGCGGTCTTGACGTCTGCGCAGGTTTATCAAGTAAATCTGAAAAGAACAAACATGTGCTAAAATGCAGTGATGCTACGCAGTGAAACACGTGCTGAAATCGCAAACTTTACCTCATCGAAACCCATGAGATCTGACTGTTTGGGAGGAACGTGGACGTAGCGAGAGACGTACATTGGGGGTCCATGAACTGTAGAAGATAAATCCCTTAATTAGTTCATTGATGATTCTGCTTGATTAGACAGCTAATTGCTAATTAGCACAAGCTTAGCGTAAGCACTGCAGTTCAAACTAAAGGTCTTTGTTACATTTACCACATTTAAAGAGCCCCTATTATGCATTAAAAAGGGTAATTTTCCGTTACATGAGTCTCCAACAACATGCTGATATGCATGCAAGGTCAAAAAAGCTTTTATGGTCTTATAATATGCATTTATTTTTACCTAATAATCTCAGGGACTCCTATATGAATCGTTCAGTGATTCATTTGTTCCCAAACCCCTCCTTAGCACGAAGCTAATCTGCGCTGATTGGACCGATGACAGCCTGTTGCCATTGGTCAACAGTGTTCAGCGCGAGACAGTAAAATGCCCAGCGTGGTTTGTCAAGCCCCCGGGTGGCCAACATTGGTATAGGATCCGATTGCTGGGGACGCCCGAAACACGCTTCATAGTAAACTTACTCAATAGTGTTATTCAGACAACTTATCCCCGATAGCAGTGTAGTTAAACACCAGCATATTGCTCCATTCTTAACTATGACACACATTCAGTATTAATCCACACAGCAGCAAAAGCTAAACTATTCTGAACCTTGACCGCTGCACAAGTGTAGGAACAGCTGATGGTGGCTATAGCAACGACAAACGGCAGTGGAACACAAGCTCACAAGCGCATTTAAATCCGTAAACAAAGCAGCACGCTTCGCGTTTTCAATGTGGCATTAGACATGATATGAGAACATAAAAACCAGATACAGTGCAAGCGGTTACAAGTAACAAAACACAATTAAATACATAATTTGCAAACTAGAGAAAACAAGGAGACAAGCCATTTACTTACACTTATGAAATATGTCATGGGCCAGGTCTGGTTTTATTAATAATCTTTCATTTTGGAGCTTTTCTTCCTTCTCAACTGTAGATCATTTCTATCTGCAATCATTGCTGTGGCACCTCTTGCGTGAAGTGTTATATGTTCTCAGGGCTTACTTTGCTTTGCCCAGCGATCACATCCCCAGCCAGGGGGTTGTATATTTCACCAGCACTCCTCCTCAGAGTGCAGCAGCCTGCCTTTGTTTGACTTTGTGCCTAAAAAACTGTCCTTATTTTTCACGCAACCCTGGTGTATTGTTTGTCCATTAGTCTCACAAGTCTCATACATCAGTAGTCTTTTCTGATCCTTCCTTTAACAAACGAATGAATCGCACATTGTAAGCTTCTAGATTGCTGAAGCACTCCTTATCCTCACACATTCAATAATATCCCGGTAGGCACAGCATCCACATGACTTATGACTTCAGGATCTGTCTTTGCTGCTGTGTTAGTAGGCGGGCCGTAGGTTTGTATTTTCGGGTTTGTGTGTGCAACAATTGGGTGGGGCTTATGTTTCGTAGCCACGTCACGCCGAAACGGCTAGAGACTCGTTATCAAGATGATTCATTCAAACCACTATGAGTCGACTCTTTTTTTAGATGAATCAATAGTTTTTAAAACTGTCCACTTTCAGATTTAAGCCTTAGCTGGATATTTCACTTGATATTGAGCTGTGTAACACTCTACATGGAAGGTAATTTTCAAAAATCCATAATAGGGGCTCTTTAAAGGAATACTCCACTTTTTTGGACATTTTACAAGACACTTCTATTTAAAGCTTGACTTTACTGTAGTCACATTCTGTAGTTAGTAAAATGAAAATGAATGTAACGGAAACAAAAGCTAAAATTTAAAATCATTTTCGTTAACTAAAATAAAAATAATAACGAGAGTTTAAAAAAAAAACTGTACTGTGTACATAAAATACTAACTGAAACTAAACTAAAACTAGCAAAAAATGTCCTTTGTTTTTGTCTTTATAAATGTATTTAATTAGCCTAATGTATGCCTTTTAGAAGTAAATCTATTTACTTCGCGCTGTCAGGTGTTTGACCGTTTAGCACCTAAGAGTAATCCTGATTCTATTGGCCAGATCAAGCCAGTGCCCCTCCAGCCAGGCCTCGCTGTTGCTCCTGAGACAAAAACAACGCCTGGACATGACAGCAACATGGTCAATTTAATACATTTTAGAAGTCACCTAATCATTCAAGGCCTTATCATACACCCGGCGCAAGGCGGTGCACGGCACGACCCAATTGTTTTTTTGCTAGTTTCAACTCGGCGCAAGAGTCGTTTGGACGATTTGTAAAACGATGTTTATATAGCAAATGCATTTGCGCTCATATGTGCGCCCATAGGCAGTCTGGTCTAAAAAAGGAGGTTTGTTAAGGCGCATTGCTGGCGCATTGCTATTTTGAGGAACTAAAATAAACTGTACAATAGACCAGCTGAGAGTAGGTCTAAAGCGAATGCACACATTGCAATAGTGTTTATGCAGAGCTAATGTTTCTTTACTTATGTCACAAACACCAGCGATCACAACTCCATTGATCACTGGATCTCTCTCACAATAACTTTTGGACTACAATTACGCCATTTTTGGACTACATATTCATACATGCACTTCGGCCAGACACACATGCTTCCTAATCTAAACTGATTACATGCACACCACCTGAGGATTGTCAGAGACTGATTGCACACACTATTTAAGTCACACACTCACCCATTCAGTTTGCCGAGTCTTGTTCACTGTAAGTAGCACTACAACGCGGTTTCCTTGTCTTGTTTTACCCGTGTTTAGACCTAGCCTTGTATTCTTGTTCTCCCTGCCTGCCCCCTGCCTTTTGACCTCTCGCCTGTTACTGATTACGATTCTGGACTGCCTACACATACCCGTTTGTACCTGTATTGACCATTGCTTGCCTGACGACGAATAAACCTGTATTTGGGTCTTACCTCAGTTGTATGTGTCACTCCCCGTGGTTACAACTTCTATACTTCCAGTGAATGATAAATGTGACTTTTTCCATTTTATATGGTTTTTACTGCAACTATGTTGTAATGTTATTAAAATATAATCAGTTAAATAGATTTCAGTGCTCATTTAGTTGCTTAAGCGTAAATTGGGATACGTAAAAATACATTTAACTGTAAATGTAAATACATTTACACACACACGCTCATCAGGATTAGCAGGCTAGCACAGAAGCTCCATTGAATATAAAATAAATAATAAAATAAATGTTTATATTCTAAAGACATGGCGGGGGGAAATGTAATTTAATGCAGTGCTTCTTGTACAATCTAAGACTCGCTTTATATCGGATATCACTCAGCCAGTTGAGATGGCTGATTTTTAAAGAAAACAGACCTTAAACGCTCTGATTTTATAATGGCTTAGAGTTCTTGTGCTTGACCCAGATTGCTGATAAATGAAAAGCCCTTAAGCATATATCCTATATCAATGCTGAAACGATATATTGTGCAGTCCAAGTACTCACTCAGAGATTCCAGGTAAAGGTGAACAAAATTGATGCGATCGTCCTCCACAGTCTGATGAGGCTTTGCAGGCACGTTCAGATACCCATAACGCTCCTTGTTGCACAGATACATCTGAACCTCTGTTTAAAAAAAGGAAGGTAATTCATTCTTTCGGCTTTTGCCATTTTTTTCAATCAGCTGGACACAGTGAAGAATTTCCTCCTCATTTCAGCCAAAAATAAACCCACATGTTAAACTCATCAACTTGCATAAGACCGGAGGGGTCCAGAAGGGGGCGCCGCACCTGATACTCTGCAGGAGAATGCGAAAACGATGATGTCGTCAAAGGGCCAGGAGTAGTCTTTGTGAGGGGGGTGAAATGACACTTTCCGGGTGCCCTGTTTGCGCAGGTCCAGCAGGACAGTGGAGTGGACCATCGGCACAGGATAACAGCCCAGACGCTGACGCTGCTTCGTGGGAAAATACTCTGCTGTGCGCCGATAGTAACCCTGAAACAGAACAACCAAACAAAAGTTACCAAGGAACAACTATTCTCAAAAGTGATGTTGTATTTCTTTGGAGATAGAAAAGAAGATGAAAAAGAATTAAGCATTTATTTTGGTATACACTGTATACATTGTTACGCAGATCTGTTCATGTCAATAAAAGCCTAAATTAAATCTTCCCATTATTAACCATTTTTCTTTAGAAGGCTTGATTTAAATTAACTATATTCATAAGGGTTGTTATGAATGTTTTGTAGTTTTTTGGGAATAAACTTTCAGTGGAGAGATAAATAAAAATCACTTCATTTATGTTGGGAGGTTGCACACATTTTTTGTTTTGTTTGGAATGATATGATGGTAATATTCTTACTTTTTCTTTTAGACATTTTGAGACAGAAAAAAGAGCTTAATAAATTTTATGGCTGTGTGCACCTAATATATATATATATAATTTAATAAAGATCATTTGACATTTTTCTGACAAAGCAAACTTACTTTATATTTGTAAAATGTGGTGCAACTTGCATAAAAAATCTAAAGATGTTCATAATATTATAGCAATGCAAGTTTTTATAAATGTGCTTATTTGTGTTCAGGGGATGATCAATGAGAGGATGAGTAAATGATGAAAACAAAATTTATTGGCAAAACTTTAGTTGACAGTGTTCATAAGACTATTATGAAACCTTTAAAATCATGCCATGAATGTGAACACGATGTTACGCATGCTTATGACAACTGTTATTATGTGTCATTTGCTCAGTTATGACATTTTAAATGCAAAGATGTTTGTTATGGCAACTTACATAAACTTGACATAAGCAAACATTTTGTGACAAATATAATTTTTTGTGTATAATTTTTTATATTTGTATAAATATATTTATATATCATTATATAATATTTATTATATTTCAACTACCATTCACATGTTTGGGGTTATAATTTGTTTATGTTTCTGAAAGAAGTCTCTTACGCTCAGTTTATTTGACAAAAACAAAGTGAAACAGTAATAGTGTTGAATATTTATTCATTCATTCATTTATTTTCCTTTGGCTTAGTCCCTTTATTCATCAGGGGTCACCACAGCAGAATGAACCACCAACTTATCTAGGACATGTTTTACAAAGCGGATGCCCTTTTAGCCAATTTATTTTATTAAATTCACTTGTACCGCATCTTTTTAGACTTTGGGGAAAAATGGACCACCGGGAGGAAACTCACGCAAACATGGGGAGAACATGCAAACTCCACACAGAAATGCCAACGTCTCCAGCAAGAACTTGAACCATCAACCTTCTTGCTATGAGGCGACAGTCCTAACGACAGAGTCACATGTTAAAATAACATTTATCTAGAGAATTAGATTTTATTTACTTCATCTAATTAAAGAATATTAATAATGGAAATATATTTAGTTCATTTAATGCTAATAATTATTATTGTTTTTCTTATTTAAATTTATTAATATTTATTTTTCAGCACCATTCCAGTGTTCCAGTCTTCAATGTCACAAGAACCTTCAGAAATCCTTATAACATTTTAATTTGGTGCTCAAGAAATGCTTCTTCTTATTATTTTATTATTATTGATTGCCGAAGTACTCTTTTACTTAAAACAGAAATCTTCTGTAGCATAAACATCTTTACTGTCCCTTTTGATCAAAATGCAAACTTAAAATGTAACACTTTCAGATAGATTACATTACAGAACAAAGTACATAACATCTTATTACTTTATAAGCTGCTTGATTCAGATGCTGTTTGTCGAGAGGGGTCTGGATGCAGACCTGGTGCTGTGCAATCTGTGCTGCATCCAATGCTTTTTAATGCGCTCACCCAACCCCACCCCCAACCCCACCCATCACAGTGACGTCACTCTGACATTGCATCGCTGAAAGATGCAATCTCAGCTTGCATCTACAAGGCTGCATCCAGATACTATTGGTTTTGTCAGTTAAGTTCTTTTCAAGTGTCAGTAGCTCCTCTTTGCCTTTACATATACTCGCACACACACACACACACACATGCGCACGCTCTTTGATTCTGTAAATGTGCCGTACCTGCGGAGTGATGCCGCACCAGTAGTTGGAGTAAGCCGACTGTGAGTCCAGCATTGGGGCAATGACTGATTTATTCTCTGCCATAAGAAGGTGTAGCGTGTCAGGATTGGTCAGGATGTTGTCTGTGTCTGAATACTGCAAACAAGGATATACACAAATAAAGAAGTTGCATCCAATAACACAACCCTAAACCTTTGTAGTAATAATAGCAAACTTATATCATATTGTTATATTATGAAACAAAATTGTTTTCATTTATCTGCATTCTGAGTGTTTTTACATATTAAGATTGTGTTTTCATTCAATTCAATTAAAAAATCCAGTTGTATTTGTAATGTTGTATCTTGCAAAATATTCATTCATTCATTTTCCTTCAGCTTAGTCGCTTTATTAATCAGGAGTCGCCACAGCCGAAAGAACCGCCAACTTATCCAGCATATGTTTTACACAGCGGATGCTCTTCCAGCTGCAACCCAGCACTGAGAAACATCCATACACACTTGTTCATACACATAAATACAGCCAATTCATTTTATTCAATTCACCTACAGCGCATGTCTTTGGACTGTGGGGGATATGGGAGAACCCGGAGGAAACCCACGCGAACACAGGGAGAACATGCAAACAGGGAGAACATGCCAATTGGGACTCGAACCAGCTACCTTTTTGCTGTGAGGCGACAGTGCTAACCAGTGAGCCACCATGTCGCCTCTTGCAAAATATGAATTGACGCAATTATTTTCAAGAAACACAGTTTATTTACATTTAAATAATTACTTATTTGTTTTAAAACCAAAAAATGTCAAACTTAATTCCATATTTTAGGATGAAATATATTTTCTTCGTTTTATTATACATGCATATACATCTTTTATTGTTCTGAGTTAAGTACAAAAGACATTAGTAAATCTTTTGCCCAGTGCAAATGTTAATTTTAGTTATAATATGGTGAAGAATTAAACTTTCCTTTGGTTTAGGCAGAAACAGCTACTGCAATACTGTAATTTCTCTCTAGAGATCAGCATGGCTGGATTTACATGCTAACGTAAATGTTGTAATTATGACTGAGCCATCAATTAAATTGTTGACTTTTTCAACTTGAGTCCTTTTTAAGGATGAAAAACCCTGAAAGTTTTAACTTAAAAAATAATAATTTTTCTTAAATGATGGCTCTTGTACTTCATCTTATTATCTTTTGGGAGAAGCCAGTGTCGGGCTAAAAACAACAACAACAACAAAAACTTGCTGGTTGAATAAAAGTAACTTTAAGTGAGAATTTGCCAGGGGTATGAATAATTTTGCGTTTGACTGTGTATATTTATATCATATTTCATTCATTCATGTTCTTTTTGGCTTAGTGTCTTTATTAATCAGGGGTCGCCACAGCAGAATGAACCACTAACTTATCCAGCATATGTTTTACCCAGCGGACGCCCTTTCAGCCGCAACACAACACTGGGAAACACCCATTCACTCTTGCATTCACACACATACACTATGGCCAATTTGGCTTAACCAATTCACCTATACCACATGTCTTTTACTGTGGGGGAATCCGGAGCACCCGCAGGAAACCCACTTGAACACGGGGAGAACATGCAAACTCCACACAGTAATGCCAACTGACCCAGTTGGAGCTCGAACCAGCAACCTTCTTGCTGAGAGGTGATCGTGCTACCCACTTAACCACCGTGACGTCCTATATACAGTTTAAGTCAGAATTATTAGCTTCCATGAATTATAACCCCCGTTTATTTTTTCCCTAATTTCTGTTTAAAGGAGAAAATATATTTTCATCACATTTCTAAACATAATAGTTTTAAAAACTCATTTCTAATAACTGATTTATTTTATCTTTGCCATGATGACAGTAAATAATATTTGACGAGATAATTTTCAAGACACTTCTATAAAGCTTAAAGTGACATTTAAAGGCTTAACTAGGTTAATTAGGTTAACTATGCAGATTAGGGTAATTAGGTAATTATTGTATTACAATGGATTGTTCTGTAGACTTTTGGAAAAAAATTACGCTTAATTAAAAAATAATTTTGTCCTTAAAAAGGATTTTTTTTAAATAAATCTGCTTTTACTCTAGCCGAAATAAAACAAATAGGACTTTCTCTAGAAGAAAAAATATTATCAGACATACTGTGAAAATTTCCTTGCTCTTAAACATCATTTGGGAAATATTTAAAAAATAAAATCAAATTCAAAGTGGGGCTAATAACTCTGACTTCAACTGTATGTCACATCGCATAAAGTAAATAATTTGTCACAGAATAAGGATGTAAATTACTTAGTTCATTCCTTTTATTCATTTTCTTGTCGGCTTAATCTCTTTATTAATCCGGGGTCGCCACAACGGAATGAACCGCCAACATATCCAGCAAGTTTTTACGCAGCGTATGCCCTTCCAGCCGCAGCCCATCTCTGGGAAACATCCACACACACATTCACACACACACTCATACACTACGGACAATTTAGCCTACCCAATTCACCTGTACCGCATGTCTTTGGACTGTGGGGGAAACGGAGCACCCGGAGGAAACCCACACGGAGGTAGGGAGAACATGCAAACTCCACACAGAAACACCAACTGAGCCGAGGTTCGAACCAGCGACCTTCTTGCTGTGAGGCGACAGCACTACCTACTGTGCCACTGCCTCGCTGAATTGCTTATTTTGACAAGAAATCCTCATAGATTATTATAATTACCAGGTGACGTAAAATAAAATAAAAATGTATCTGCAATAAATTTCAGCTTATTTCTGACATAAGTAAGTACTAAACCTTTAGAAATGTTTACCTGAATCATTTTTTAATTCTTCTTATTATATTTATATATTCAAAATTCAAAATTGAGGATTATGTGAGACAAGTGGTTCATACCAGAATATAGTCAGCCCAGCGTTTCTTGGCAAAGTTTAATGCCGCCTGTTTAAGCTTCATAATATACTCATAGCGGCTGTTTGTCCAGTGCTTTGGCCCCAATTCTCCTGCATAAGACCTGTGTGAAGAAAACAAACCAATTCAAACCTTGCTAATGGCACATACACTTATGAAAAAATGCATTTGTTAAATTGTGTTTTTATTTGCTATTTGTCCATGTGATGATCAACTCACGTGGGTTTATCTGAAGGTCTCCACTCCACATAGTGATATTGAGTTTGCATGACGGTCAGCCATTCTCGCAGCATAGCTGTCGTGTTGTCAATGTTGTGGTCCGTCGCTGCCCTACAGGAAACAATAAGAAGAGCCACAGGAATTCATTAGGGACTTAATGTAAATAAAAGACCTGTAAAGTCATACAGTGCAAGCAGCATGCAGGAAAAAATGCTTCAAAATCACAAAGAAGACCCTTGGTAAATGTCATGGCTGTGTGTTATGATCAATATTTGTCATTTCTATAAAACAGCTAAGTTAATGTAGCTTATAAAAATGTCATGTGGTTTAACAATAAGGATATTTATCAATTAATAATTTAATTAAACAAAAACATTTTGAATGGGAAAAATACTAAATATGTATATTTATTACTCATGCATATATGTTTAAGCAATGTGTCTACATTTGGAAGCGAGTTAGTAGATACTATTTTTTATCAGTGTTATGTTTAGCTACAAAAATTGACACATTAATAATTGATATGTGGGACGTGTAAGTTTGACCCCTATTTAAAATACATTTTTATTATTTTCAAATAAAGAATAAAAATGTGTTATGAAATAATAAGAGGAATTGGCGGGTTTGAATTGAGCTTAATGACCAGTAAAGTCATGTGGTGTAACCAGTGTATGCATAAAGACAATTAAAAAAAATTAAAATTAAACTGGAAATGACATTATAGTCATGTAGGCACATGATGAAGTCCATGACTGTATGAGGTTAAAATATAAATTTAAGGCAGAGTTACTATTAGACTGTAAAATATCATATGGTGGAACTTTCAGCCAAAAACATTATTTTTATCTTGAACGTTTTGAAAAATGTTAAGATGAATTAAATCAACTTTAAGTTCAATAGAAATTTCAATGTCACATCGCACAAGGAAAACATTAAAATTATATTTTACGTGACAGTTACACACCACATACACCACAGCAGTTCTTACCCACATAGCAAAATATTTCTGGCCCACACGATCAGCTTTTGCTTGAATTACGGTATGACTGGATCAAGTTTGGCTTTCAGAGAAGGGCCAAACATGGACCATATCTGGGCCAAGTGTCTGCCAAGTTACAGTTTTTCTCAGTGGCTTTGGTGCATTTCTCACAACACTATTTATATTTGCACAACAGTTAATGCATTTCTCAAAACAATTTGCCATTTGTGCACATCATAGTAGTGGTTTCTCATTCTTTCCAACAAATTGCAAAAGCTTTGGGACATGCATCAATTGCTTTCATACAACTCTCTGCTATTTATAGCATTATCATTTGCTTATGTCATGTCAGTCAAAATTAACTTGTGAATGCTAAATAGTCATTCCATATACAATTAATAGTCCTCATTTCATTACTTGATTCATTACACACAAAAATGTTGAACTAGTTTTTAAAATCTGTCAAGCAAATTTTATAAAGAAAAAATGCATATCTTTTTTTCCTGAAAATGTCTTCTAAACTGAACAATTTCAGAAATGATTTACTATATGCAATGATGTCTAACTTCACTGTAGTTTTCAAATAGATGTGCAAATAGTATCTCGTGCTGTCCAGAGCATTTTCAGGAAGTGTCACCAAAATCTGACTTTTTTGCATTGGAAAAAATGTACAGAGTAAACTGTCATAATGAAAACATGACAAAAGCCATTTAACTATCTTGTTTATAAACAATGGTGTCTGGACTTTTCATCTTGATGACTCTGACACTTTCATTGGCATGAATACTGGCTTTTGAGAAATGAGCTATCCATTTTGAGCAAGTGACACACTTTTGCAGGTTATGAAAATGGGTTTTGCAGTTTGTACTAATTGTTTAGAGAAATGCATTAAGTGTTGTGAAAATGTAAATAGTGTAGTGAGAAATGCACCAAAGCCACTGAGAAAACTGTAAAAAAAAATTTAAAAAAGCACTAAGCTGAAGAAAAATGAATGAATGAATGAATGAACATTTTGCAAGTTGCAACCATATAATTACAAGTGGATGTTTTAAGTGGAATTGAATGCATGCATAATTGAATAATGTTGTGAGAAATGCACCAAAATGACTGAGAAAAACTGTAACAACCCATAACTGAGCCTAAACTGGGCCAGTTATGTTGGTGTGTCACGACTGCATTGCAATGAAATTGATAAACCCATGAATCATTGCGCTTTAGCCGTGCTATGGGTGTGCTTCTTCTCAAAGCAACCTTATTGGTAGAATTTTTATTCTTTATTTGAAAATAATAAAAATTTATTTTAAACGTTGGCCAATTATTAACATCTGAGCCACATACTTCATTTTACATCTGGCCCAAATATTGTGTGCCACCTTAAAGACGGTGCCACCTCTGCCAAACCAGGGCAATGTTTGGCCCACCTGCTGTATGTCAGTGCCGGATGAATGCCAGCTGTGCCAGATTTATGCCAAATCTGGGCCAGAATTCTTTGCTACAAGGGTATGTTGAACATGGTATACAAATAGCTTTTTAACTGTATGATTTATGGAATCAACATCCTTTCTTCACGTGTTTAAACTAAAGATTTCTATTTTTCTACCTTTCTGTTTTTAATTTATATAGGACAGACTTTTCGTCAGTGACTCAAATTAATGTTATTACATGTAATAATAATTCTATTTATTTGTGATGTAACATTAGACTTCCATTTTATTTATTTAAACCATAACATAAGGTACTAGTCACCACTTAGCCTATCCCTTACAAAAAATAACCATGTTTTTGCTGCCCTAACAATAATCTAAACAGGGTATTTGTAGTAAAAGTGGCTACAAATGGTAATCAATGCACAGGCACAAGGTAATCATTGTAAAAGTTACCTACTTTAAAAATTAAAAGATGCATTGCATTAAAGAATTATTTTTGAATAGTATTTTGTAAAGATGAAACATTCTTTTAAGTGCATATTTAATGAATGCTCACCCTAGACGTTATTAGCAGGGGGAAGGGAAACCTAATAGGCTTTAGGGGGAAAAGTGAAGGGGAGGAGGTGATGCGAATGCAAATAAGACTGACCTTTTGACATCTACAAATATTAAGAAAGATTATCAACAAGCTTAAACGACAGAGAGGGAAGTCACCTACCAGACAGAGATTCGCTCCTTGGGATAGTTTAATCTTTCGAGGGCACCAAGGTAGTGAGGTAAAGAATGAGCGGCGTTCCGTGCGATTATGGCTATAACGACAGTGGGCGGCTGCATCTTTGACTCCTCGGTGTAATTTTCTTCGGAAAAGTAACACTGTACTACCGCAAGAAAGGTCCAAATAGTTATAATCCAAGATAACATGGTTGGATTTCGATGGTCTGCTGCCGTCGTTGCACAAACAGTCCCATCCGCGTCAGCAGCTGTAGGAAAGAGGGCTCTTCCCTAAACTTCGCACTCCCCCTCAATCCTCCGTTCCCCCCTGAAAGAGCCAACGTGTTCTGTTAGCTGGGCTGGATTTACTTACAACTTCCGTGTGAAGATTTGTTACTGTTACAGTTAGCGTGTACATCCCGTGTGATTTTGATTGTTTATACGTTATTTTTCTTGAAAACGGTTACATTTTGAATGCTAACTTACATGTTGTCTTAAAGCGACTACATTGTTTTGGTCCACTTGCCAAACAAAGTAGAAATATTGACGTTGAATTTGGGGATTATCCAAAAACAAACTGACCTTTTTTCGCGTATTGTCTCAACTTAAAAGTCCGAACAGCTTTATTGTTTCGCTGTAAAAGTGGGCCTAATCACTGACATTTAAACTGTGCTTGTTTGTGTTACAAAAAAAAATCTTATTGGTTTAACCACAAACCATGGTTTTGTTACACTACCAAAGTTTAACCGTAGTGTTTGTTGTAAAGATGTGGTCAAAACATTGTTGTTAATACTTGCAGTGTAATATAAAACCAAGATTCATATTCGTTTGCTATCTATATACGGTGGAAAGTCCCAAAACATTTTATTGAACGTATACATTTATTTCCTTTTTATATAAAATGTAACGTAAAATTCGCAAAAAGGAGTGTAATAAAAAAGTGTGTCAGCATAAAAAAATGAACAATATTTTGCTTATGGAAACGTCAAACAAATCACAAAGTTCCAGCAGCTTTTTTCACCGACTATTTACCTACAGTGAACAACCACAAGAGGGATGTGTTGAGCTGGTTTTGCAAATGAAATGACGGTGGGCCTGTTTTTTAAAATATGACGTAGTTAAAAGGATAGATAGATAGATAGATAGATAGATAGATAGATAGATAGATAGATAGATAGATAGATAGATAGATAGATAGATAGATAGATAGATAGATAGATAGATAGATAGATAGATAGATAGACAGACAGACAGACAGACAGACAGACAGACAGACAGACAGACAGACAGACAGACAGACAGACAGACAGAAGAAACAAGACTGTAAAATAAAATGTTATCAAGGATAGAGTGAAAACATTTGACAACTTACAGACACCATAGCATGAAACATTTACAAGTATTTTCCCTGGTTTACAAAATAAAAGATTCCTTTGCACTTTAATTTAACCAAAGCACTTACAAAAAAAAGCGCCATATTGATTCCATTTTTTACTGGTTGCTCATCTACAAAAGGAGTGTAAAATTGATCAGTGGCCATCCACGCTATTGAGTTCTTGTCTTTATGAACGCTGAGATGCTCTTCAATGAGGAGATGCTGAAGAAGAGCAAAACCTTGGAAACAGAGGGCGTAATGGGGAAAGAAAACAGCCTGCAGAGAACAAAAAGATAAAGAGAGTAAACAGAATACGGCTGACATCCGCATAAACTGATTTCAAGTGGCTCATCTATTATTGGCCAGTCCCATTGCCTGTAACAATCAAATTAGTGCCGTGCTCAGGCCCGGTCCAGAGACGTGGGTCAAAGGGAGTGTCGTTTCATGGTACCCACGCCTTTCCCCTCCAACCCCTGGCCTTCTGAGGGCACTTTCCCAGCGCCTTCCTCACACCAGCCCTGAGAGAGTTCACCAACATCCTAACTAACTTTTCACTGCTGGGTCAAAGGTCTGAGGAGCGGGGCAGCAGGGTGTGCCGGGGGGTCGAGGGCACACAAGACAACTAGCCCGGACCCAAACATTTATTCAGAGAAGATGGGGGCCACTTTCCCCCTGGACAACTTTGATTAAGCCACTTTATCCTATGCCTGGTGGGGGGTCTGCTGTGAGCCTATGGATATACATAGCCATGTGGCATACAAAGCAAAAAGGGAGAGGGGGGCGTCCAGTGGTCCTAGCACCTCTGCAGACTCTTTCTTTACTGGGTCTGTCGAAAACCCTGAAAGGGCAGCTGCAACACTATGGGAAAGGCTCGAACTTCGTCCAGCGCTGCGATAATCAATAACATGTTCCCATACAAACGTCTCACGGCTCATCAGCTCAATAACTGTCACTCACGGTCCCACGGTCAGCTCAATCGCACAAACTTACTCAGCAGTCGCAAAGTGACAGGCCAACTGTGAATGAATGTCAGTTTGGGAAATAAGTGTGAATCGCTGAGGCCTTATTAGGAAGTTTGGTTTTGTTTGGTTTGTTCTGAATGGCACACAAGCATGCTGCAAACTGGAACAGATGCTCACTGGAGAAAACACATAACTTTCCAAATATGTATACTTATCTACAATGTGAAAAACAGTAGGTAAGTGCAGTTTTATGTGTGAATTTATTCATTCATTCATTTGTTTTAATTTTAGCTTAGTCCCTTTATTAATCTGGGGTCGCCACAGCAGAATGAACCGCCAACTTTTCCTGCACGTTTTACACAGTGGATGCCTTTTCAGCCACAACCCATCACTGGGAAACATCCATATTAACATACACTACGGACAATTTTTAGCCTACTCAATTCACATATACCACACGTTTTTGTACTTGTGGGGGAAACCGGAACACCCAGAGGAAACCCAAGCGAACCCAGGGAGAACATGCAAACTCACACAGAAACGTCAACTGACCCAGCCAAGGCTCGAAGCAGCAATCTTCTTGCTGTGAGGTGAACGTGCTACCCACTGCACCACCATGTAGACGTCTGAATTTCTAGTTTTCCTAAATTAATTCTGAAAACGAAGCCCTATTTACATTTCTGGAGATCGAGGATTATGTAGACAGAAGTACAAATAGTGGCATTTCATCTTTAAAACAAATTCTACAGGGCGGTATGATGTCATTCCTTTTCTCACTTACCAGCTGACTGCTTACCTCCGTATGAACGGCTTTCCCGCTGTTACCAGTTTATCCAGTAGCTCGCCATGTACATCGGCAGACTTTGGACGCAGAGAGAAGTGGACCACAATTGGGTTCGAGTTCGGCAAAGAACAGTTTCAGAAAGCTGATAAGACAAAAATAGAAGACAAAAAAAAAAATTTAAAAGTAAATAACAGGGTGAGAATGTGGTAAAATCTGAAAACGTGGTAAAAATCCGGCAAGGGCTTTCTTTTTTTAGATTGCTTTTTAAACGTTCTTTTAGAAAGTTCATGTTCACGTTCATGTTCTTTTTTAAAAATCATTTTTATCAATAGTTTTTATTGTTCTTATACTTGTCTCTTTTATTTATGTTTATGTAAAGCACTTCAAATTGCCACTGTGTATGAAATGTGCTTTAAAACTGTCGGTTGGGTTTAAGGAATTGGGTCAATAGGTGCTTTTGAAAACACTATTGGTTGGGTTTAGGGAAGAAGGAGGGTGGGTCAGTCAGTCATTCAGTCAGTCGACAGCGGCCTCTGGTGGATTTAAGTGAGAACAGCAGGCGCAAATGACATTCGAAAGAGAAATTATCATTCACTTTCTTTTTTGGCTTAGTCTGTTTATAAATCTGAGGACCACAGTGGAATGAACCGCCAACTTACCCAGCATTTGCCCTTCCAGCATATGCGATACGTTTTCAGAATGAGCCTGGGTTGCAAAATGTGTATACACATAAGGCCACATAACACTGGCAGTAATGGATGAAGTACACAGACATAAAAGTAAGAATACACTAAAAACATATTACTCCAATAATAAAGTCTTGCTTTAATTTAAGTAGTCAAAAAACTAAGGAAGTTGATTTTTAATGCACTTTAAAAGGATAGTTCACCCAAAACTGAGATTTTTGTCATCATTTACTCACCCTTCACTTGTCACAAAAATGTTTGAGTTTTTTTCCTCATTCTAAAATTCTGCATTAGTAATCCACTTCTCACGCCTCAAGTTGTGGGCACTCAAGTTGAGAGGATCTCCTGGCTGTTTTTGAGTCGGATTTGTAAATTCAGTGAATATGAAGAATTGCTTTGTCTAGATCATTTGAGTAAGTGAATCAATAGCTGGAGACTCGCTCTGACCGGATCATTTAAATCAGTGAAATGCTAACTGGAGGATTGCCCTGAATGGATCATTTGAATCAGTAAGTTGTTATAGGGGTGGTCTAATGCTTTTTCATGCACTCAGAGTTATTTAAACTGCTGAAGTAAGGGTCAAGTTTCAAAGCATGATTTAGTATTTCATCTTTAAAGATATTCTGGGTCGTAAAGAGTTTTACAGCAAACAACGACAAACATTTAATGCGTTCCTCATGATTTCTTTTTTTAAATAAACATGTATTTCAATTTTGTTTTTTGCAACACATTTAAAAGAAGTTGTAACAGTAAAGCATTTACCACTTTGTATTGTTGTCATTCCTTTTCACACTTCAAATGAAAAATGTTTCAGGTTTAATTTTGGCCCATTCATGCAAGTGTACAGGGTCTTTATTGTCACATTTTGCACTTCAAAATGCACCACACTTTCTCTATTGAAGACAACTCAGGACTGCAGGCAGACCAATTTGGACTTGCTTTCGGACTTGTTGCTGGTAGCAGTCTGGATGATTCTTTTCTTCTTTGGTCTGGGGCACACGGTATCCATTTCTCCCCAAAAAAGAACTGAAATACTGATTCATCTGACCACATTACACGTTTCCACTATGTGATGGTCCATCCCTTTGAGCCCAGAGAAGTTCTGGACACTGTTAACGTAGGGCTTTCTTTTGGCACAGTACAGTTTTAACTGGCATTTGTGGATGTAACTACATATTGTGGTACTTGACAAAGGTTTGCCAAAGTATTTATGAGCCCATGTAATGAAATCGCTTATAGATGACTGAGGATTCTTGATGCAGTGCCACCTGAAGGATCGGAGATTATGGTAATTCATTTTAGGCTTGTGCCCTTATCCTTTACGCATTGATATTCTTCCAGATTCTCTGAATCTTTTAATTATCTTACTGTATGCACTGTTGAAGGTGAAATATCCAAATATCTTTATATCTTTCTTTGAGGAACATTGTTTTTAAACCTTTCAATAATTTTATATGTATTGTTTGCAAACAGGCGATCCTCAGTCCATCTTTGCTCCTAAAGAACTAGATCTTTCTTGGATGCTGCTTTTGT